AAACTTGTTGTAATCTAAATGCATGAACGAAAATATCTAAAAACAACTTTTGGGAATTCACCGTAAAGGAACTATCATAAAGGAACCAACCTACGAGGCTATGACCTACAAATCAGATGAATAAACAAAATGATTTTCTTTAAAATGAAAGTAAAAGTTTTAAATCCTCTTGTAGTAGTCAACATTATACTTATTCTTGTCATACAAAAATATATCAGTTTCACAAATATTTGCTCTAAATTTTAAGAAATTCTGAGTTGGGGTGGGGGTGGGTCAGTATTCCCCTCCGTTATTTTTCTTCAATTAAGAAGTATACAAAATACGAGTAACATGAGAAATGAAAATTTGTCTGCACTTTATGAAAAAACATGAAGTTATCCTTTCAAAATATTTTTATTAAATGTCAAATTCTTTATGATTCGTTGCCTCCTTCCTCTATCAATTTTAATATACCTAAAAACATACTTAAACTTTTTTCTTTTCTGTTTTGTATGTGAGAAACTGATTAAGAAAATGAAGTTTTTAAATTGTTGCTAGAAAGGATGAATGACATTTTTATGGTGTGAGGTTAAAAAATTATTCCCCAAATTATAAAAGATGTTTTACGGCCTAAACATGTGTGTGACAAAATAATGAATAAGTTTCCGAAATGCTAAAAAGATGATCGTTATTTATCTGTATATTGAAATCTGCAAAAACACGTTTTATTTTAAAATATTTACAAAATACATATAATTTTTTTCAGATATTTTATTGATCAAATAAATTTACATCGAACCATACACAGTTGAATAAGAAAAGGAATGCATAGTTAGTTAAGATTTTTAGAGATATATAGATTTTAGAAGTAATTTGATGAATACATGAAGGCTGTATAGAATATAGATTAATATATTGATTTGTGTTTAAATGTAGACGGTAAATGTATCTATTTATATATAAATATAGACGGTAAATGTGTATATTTATGTATAAATGTAGACGGTAAATGTATATATTTATGCATAAATGTAGACGGTAAATGTATTTATTTATGTATAAATATAGACTGTAAATGTATTGATTTATATAAATGTAGACGGTAAATGTATTGATTTATGTATAAGTAATAAGTATAGACGGTAAATGCATATATTTATATATAAATGTAGACGGTAAATGTATATATTTATGTATAAATGTAGACGGTAAATTTTATTTAATTATATTTAAATGTAGACAGTAAATGTATTGATTTATGTATAAATTTGTGAAATGAATATGGCATATTATAAAATTACATATAAACGTTTATAAATACGTTTAGATGTATTGTAAAAAGTATGTTACATATGCAATGATGCATACTTATAAGTATATATGCAGTCATGTATGTGTACTTAGATAGATGTAGATTGTAGAAGATTTAAATATATATTGTACATCATTTAAAAAAATTAATATTGCGTTTTAATTTTTTTTTAAGGTTCAAGAAGGTATAAGCGTAAAGTGTAACAATAACATAGTAAGTTACATATGCAAAGGATACTTTTAAATATTTATTTATGCATTTATATATGTGTAGTTAAATAAATGTAGATTGTAGAAGATTTAAATATAATTTGTACATCATTTCAAAAATTGAATAAGGCGTTTCAATTTGTATTAAGGTTTAAGAAGGTATAACCGGATAAGGCTTCAAGATTCCTGGTTCAGGCTTTACTTACAGCTTTTATATCAAAACTCTAAAATTTAAATTGAATACTGGTGCACATATTTAATGGGTTTTCAGGAACTTAAATCCCCTGAACTTTTTTATTTTGGTCTTCTTAGTCTTTATATAGATATATAGATATATAGAGTTAATTCTCTTTATCCGTAAATCTTATTTTTCACCGTCTCATTCTTATCTTATCCTAGTAATTTAATTCTCTTTATCCGTAAATCTTATTTTTCACTGTCTCATTCTTATCTCTTTTCTTATCTTATCCTAGTGATTTAATTCTCTTTATCCGTAAATCTTATTTTTCACCGTCTCATTCTTATCTATTTTCTTAACTTATCCTAGTAATTTAATTCTCTTTATCCGTAAACCTTATTTTTCACTGTCTCATTCTTATCTTTTTTCTTATCTTATCCTAGTAATTTAATTCTCTTTATCCGTAAATCTTATTTTGCACTGTCTCGCATTCTTATCTCTTTTCTTATCTTATCCTGGTAATTTAATTCTCTTTATCTGTAAACCTTACTTTTTCCTTAATTTTTTAATCCTACAGATACTAATACCTTTATCCTGTACATCTCCAACTATTCTGCCTGGCATCGCTTTTTTACCTAGAGAGTATCCTAGTATCCTTTTCCTAATCCTTATCGTAGTATCCTTATCCTTGAACCCTGATCTTGATTCTTATCCTAGTATCTGTATATGAGCCTTCTAGTATTCTTTTCTTAATCCTTATCTTAGTATCTCTATACTAGCATCCTAAAATCATAATACTAATCCTTATCCTAAATAGTATCTGTATACTAACATCGTAGTATCCTGATCCTAGTATATGTATCCAAGCATCCTAGAACCCTGATCCTAAGTCTTATCCTATTATCTTTATTTTAACACGCCCTGATCCTAATAGTATCCTAGAACCCTAATCCTAAGCCTTATCCTATTATTTCTATCCTAGCATCCTAGAACCTTGATTCTAATCGTTATCCTAGTTTATCTATCCTAGCATCCTAGAATCCCGATCCTAATCCTTATCTTAGTATCTCTATCCTAGTATCCTAGTGTCATAATCTAAATCCTTATCCTAGTATCTCTATTTAGCATCCCAGAACATTGATCCTAATCTCTATCCAAGTATCTCTATCTTAGCATCCTAGAACCTTGATCTTATTCTCTATCCAAGTATCTCTATCTTAGCATCCTAGAACACTGATCGTAATCTCTATCCTAGTATCTCTATTTTAGTAACCTAGAACCTTGATCCTAATCTCTATCTAAGTATCTCTATCTTATCATCCTAGAACACTGATCCTAATCTCTATCCAAGTATATCTATTTAGCATCCTAGAACCTTGATCCTAATCTCTATCCAAGTATCTCTATCTTAGCATCCTAGAACACTGATTCTAATTTCTATCCTAGTATCTCTATTTTAGCATCCTAGAAACTTGATCCTAATCTCTTTCCTAGTATCTCTATTTAGCAACCTAGAACCTTGATCCTAATCTCTATCCAATATCTCTATTTAGCATCCTAGAACACTCATCCTAATCACTATCCAAGTATCTCTATCTTAGCATCCTAGAACCTTGATCCTAATTACTATCCAAGTATCTCTATTTTAGCAACCTAGAACCTTGATTCTAATCTCTATCCTAGTATCTCTATTTACCATCCTAGAACCTTGATCCTAATCTCTATCCAAGTATCTCTATTTTTGCAACCTAGAACGTTGATCCTAATCTCCATCCAAGTATCTCTATCTTAGCATCCTAGAACCTTGATCCTAATCTCTATCTAAGTATCTCTATCTTAGCATCCTAGAACACTTATCCTAATCTCTATCCAAGTATCTCTATCTTAGCATCCTAGAACCTTGATCCTAATCCTACTCCTAGAATCTCTATTTTAGCAACCTAGAACCTTGATCCTAATCTCTATCCAAGTATGTCTATCTTAGCATCCTAGAACCTTGATCCTTATCTCTATCTAAGTATCTCTATCTTAGCATCCTAGAAAACTTATCCTAATCTCTATCCGAGTATCTCTATCTTAGCATCCTAGAACCTTGATCCTAATTACTATCCTATTATATAGCATCCTAATCCTAGTTCTTATTCAAGTATTTCTATTTTAGCATCCTAGTATCATGATAAAATATGGATTATTTTTTGTTGTTGTATATCCCTGATCGCTATCTTTATCCATTTCCTTCTTTATTCATTTCATTGCTGCAACTTGTAATAGCAGTTTGAATATATATGGTTACTGTACCCCTATCCAAGATCTGAAAGAATGAATTACGATTCTAATACAAATTTATTAATAAATAGTAAGACCATACAATGACGTAATATTTAGGAAGTAGAAGTTTGTAAATGGTACATTTTTTACCACATAGTTGATATGTTCCACTATAAGATGAGGTTTATATGTAAAAGATGAATTTGCAAAGAAAGCCTTTTTCCAGTACTTGCACAATAATATCTCTAAAGCTAAAATTTAATTTTTGATAAACAAGAAAATTAAGGGTAAAATTAGAACTGAAGCTGAAGAAAGGAAATAGAATAATAAATGAGAAAATTAATAGAAATATAGCAGCAAAAAAATACAAATTTAGAATAAAATTAGAAAACTAAAAAGAATCTTTGAACGATAAAAGCCAGGAATAATATGTAAACTGTACCAAAAAAAAGTTTTCGAATTATTCAGATAAGAATTGATTTGAGCAAAATATTCTATTTCAGCACACTGTTTTACAATTCAATCTATTAGTGTTTTCTTGGGTTCTTGTTCGAGTAAAATTGTTTATAAAAACTGGAGGTTTGACTAGTTAGTGTGAATTTGATACCACGCAATTGTAGAAAATCTCCCCCCCCCCCGCAGAGATTTCTTCGTGGGAACATTTATATTAACATTTTTTCATTTTATGCGTATATTGCGTAAAAACAGCAAAAGTTGGCGCATTATTAAACAAATTATGGTTAATATTTATAACACCGGGTAGAAAAACGAACATTTTTAAAGTAGAACTTTTTTATAATCTAATTACAAAAAGAAAGTGTAAAGGAATCGAGTCTTTGCCACAGATTCAAATTTCAAATCCCTATATTTTTGAAACATGATGGTGTAAACCTTTGGTATTTCAAACTAAGATTATTTGATCCAGCAGACTCCATAGTTTTATATATCTAAGGTTTACAACATTTGGTTTCAAAATTATAGGGATTAGAAGATTAGAGTTTATTGCAATGACTTAATTCCTTTGGAAACCATCGATATTAAAATATGTTAATTTAAAATGGTCTAGAGAAACAGAATTAAATTTGAAAAACACGAATTTTAAATTATAAGAAAATTAAATATGAAGCGCAACAAAATATTCAACTTAATTTCACAATCACAGATAAGAAGCTTCACATATATTGCAATTTAAACAGAATATTATCTTGATGATGCAAATTTTGTCACAGTTCAGTCTCTAGTTATATTTCCCATGAAGGATGCTGCTTTATCAACAGTTTTATGCTTAGAAATTCTTTCATGGCATTTTTTTCAGATTTGGCAAACATGGAAATGTTGAGGCTTTATAGGAATCAGTTTCTAGTCCTCTAATTAACCTCTGTTTGCATCTCTGACTGTGGACTGGACCCCCCTGAAGTCTGGTCGATGGAGTCCAGTTGATCCAAGGTTGATTGTCTGGGTGATCCTGTGGAGACCCCTGAGTCTGATCCTCCTGAACTGGTTGAATCCCGTTTACAAGGTACACTGGCTGATCGTCGCATCGTTAACACAGGGCTCTGAACAATATGTTTCACATTTTTATAAAATCGAAAATATTGATTTAAATTTTGATTTATGAAATTGTGATCTTCTCTAATAAAAAATGTTCTAACCTCAAAATCCTTTGAATTTTAAAAAACTTGCTGTTTCATTAGAATAATAATAATTGCAAATGCAAAGTTTTACAATTAAAAATTAAAGAAAACTTCAAATGGAACAATAAAAATGAATAAACTTGGTTAAAACAATGCATCTGACACATGTGTAAGAGCTAAACAGTTTTATTTACTCTGCTGTAAAAATACTAACTTAAAAATGTATATTTTGTGCTCGTTCTTGTGTTAGTGTGTCAAATCGTTATCTGTTTCATATCTGTTGAATTTATTTGAAAATAACAGAGCACTTTGTCCCCTTTAGATCATGAGAATTCTAGATCAAAAATAAATAAAAATCAGATACATTAGGATCAAGAGAGGGGACAGGATAACAAAATTAAATATTTTCTGCATTTAATTCTAATTCTAGCAAAGTTTAGAGTAACCTAGTAATTTTGAACTTATTCTTTAGAATGTTTTTGCAAAGGAAGCATCAAGGGAATATTTGAAATCTTGACATTTACTCCTAGATTCTCTAGATTTTCTAGATTTCTACTTTTTGCAGATTTAATCATGAATCTGAAACTTTCCTGGGACTTAGAGAGATTATGTATGCTGTCCGAAACCTTAGATCTGGGTATTGTGACGTAACCAGAGAACAGATTCGTCCCTTGCAGGCTGATCGCCAGCTGATCCAATGATTGCTCCTGTAGACTGATTCCTGTCCCTGCATTATCTGGTAGACTGATTTCCTTTTCAGGTTTGTACATAAAAGTTTCATCGTCAATTTTTATGAAGTTTTTAGGAGCATGTTTAATGGTATCAAATCTGGTATCACTCATAAGCGCCATACTGTCTACAATATCATAGTTCGAGCTGTACAAAGACGATCTGTCATCACTGCACAAAGACGACCTGTCACCTGCACTAATTGGTGCCATTTCATGATACTTGGCATTTTCCGAATTTTCCGGTGCTCTCATTAATTCATAATCTGGATTTGAACTGGAATACATGGGGAGATAGTTCTCAGTCTCAACTTGATCACGTGTTAAACTTTGAGGTAGTTTTTCTAGTCTGGAGAGAACGTCTCGACTGTTTTCGTACAGGGACAAGGACTGTGCAAAGTCCATATTTGTGTAGTTGGCATGGTCTGGAGGAGGCGGTGCCCCGCGGCCAACCTGTTTGTTACATCGATGCTGAATTTTCTGATTACATCCTTGACATATTTTCTTAGAACGATCAATCTAAAAGAAAAGTTGAAAATATAACCAAATAACTTTGTAATGAATAAAATTTAATTTAAACTTTAGTTAAAATTTTTTATGCAAATTAAGCTTAATTTGGATAAGTGACATGTGAACACCAAGAAATAAAATTTGTTTCTCTCATTTTTTTTAAAAATCTTTAAGGGTTGGTACCTGTGCATAAACTGGACCACCACCGTGTCGAGGGGGTAGTCCTGAACAAAAAGAAGTTTTTAAAATTAAAATTTATTATTTCAATCTATATTGAACATGCTTAATAGAACGTATACGAGAAAAATAACTGGAAAATTCAGCGTGTAATTTATTCGTCATGCACAATTTTCTAAGTTCAGATAAAAATACTTTAAAATATTCCTAATTTTTTAAAAGTTTAAACTGCCATGCATGCGATAATTGACAAGAACAGGGGGAAACATTATACAAGCTTAGGTTCAAGTGGTAAATAAATGTGGGTGGGGGGTAGTGGCAGATAAAAATATGGTGAAAGGGATAAGAAAAGGGTGTCAAAAAAGGCAGGGGTGGTGAAGTAGCTGATTTAAAAAGTTCAGATTGATTTGTTTTGATACGGTTACTTAGAGGTGAAAATAAAAGAATAAGAAAAGGTTGAATGGCCGAAAAAGAGAAAATTGGCTAAATAAAGAATATGTTTTTTAAGAAGATAAATAACAGGAAATAGAAAATAAAAATTTATTAAAATTAAAGGGAAAAGCAAAAAATTAACGAGAAATAAAGATTAAAAGAAGAAATGAACTTTAACTTTTCGTATTTGAGTTGAGATAAACTTAAATTAATGCTAATGATAATTTGCATTTTGCATTATCCAAGGTTCAATAATCAGTTAAAAAAATATTTTATTTAAAAATTTTATAACATTGTTTTTAAATGCTTAAACATGTTTACTTAATCAGGTCTTCCATGGAAAACCTGTTTTATTTGTATTGTTATTATTAAAATATTGATCGATTCAATTTCTATTCTATAATTTTACCTGAAATTATGTTTGGTGATAATGACCGGCCAGCAGCAGGAGCTTGATCCTTCTCTGATGGAGGTTCAGATAGACACCTGGGAACAAACACAATTTCATTCAAGGATAAAAAATTGGAGGAGGGAGGTTAGGGGGCATGAAAAGGAGAAAAATGGAGTAGAACAAGAAATGGAGGAGGGGCGAACAGAATAGCAATAAATAATGAAGATGCGAAAGAAAGGAAGAGAATTGATTGGAAAGTATTCGCTAGGGAAGGTAAAACAGGAACTAAATATTGAATGGAAGGTAAAGAATAGAGAAGGTAAAACAGGAACTAAATATTGAAAGGAGGTATAGACTAGGGAGGGTAAAACAGGAACTAAATATTGAATGGAAGCTATAAGCTAGGGAAGGTAAAACAGGAACTAAATATTAAATGGAAGGTAAAGAATAGAGAAGGTAAAACAGGAAATAGATATTAAATGGAAGGTATAGGCTAGGAAAGGTAAAACAGGAACTTAGGAAGGTAAACGATACAGAAGTAAAAACATAAACTAAATATTAAACGGAAGGTATAGGCTAGGGAGGGTAAAACAGGAACTAAATATATATTGAATGGAAGGTATACGATACAGAAGGAAAAACAGGAACTAAATATTAAGCGGAAGGTATAGACTAGGGAGGGTAAAACAGGAACTAAATATTGAATGGAAGGTATAGACTAGAGAAGGAAAAACAGGAAATAAATATTGAATGGAAGGTATACGCATAGAAGGTAAAACAGGAACTAAATATTGAATGGAAGGTATATACGTATAGAAGGTAAAACAGGAAATAAATATTGAATGGAAGGTATACGCATAGAAGGTAAAACAGGAACTAAATATTGAATGGAAGGTATACGATATAGAAGGTAAAACAGGAACTAAATATTGAACGGATCTAACACTTCGTCTTGTTTGGCTTGAATTCAGGAATTTAAAAAATTGAACTGAGAGAGGGGCAGGGGCACTATATATCAGGAGAGGGGTATAGGGCCAGGAAAGGGAAGGGGCAGGGGCACTATATATCAGGAGAGGGGTATAGGACCAGGAAAGGGAAGGGCAGGGTAAAGAAGGAGGATTTTTGGTGAGAAAAAAAAAAAAAATAAATAAATAAAATAAATAAATAAATAAATAAATAAAACTTAATATGAATAAAATTGTTAATTTCTTTTCAAAAGAAAAATTTAGATAATTTTTGTTAGATTTCAAATTCTTAACAAATAAGTTCTGATTTCTTGTTAAACCTAGCAGACAAAATCTACTTTATTTGTATAAAAGATTAAATTCAGAATTTATAATACTGTTAAATATTGTGTTGCTTGCCTGATTGCATTTATTTTACTCATATCCACCACAGGCATTCTTCCTTGGCCGGTCAGCTTTACCCGGGGTATCTTCAGCTCACTACACTCTCCTGTACTACCCTCTCTATAATATATAACAAATTTTATTAAAATTTTTTTCAAAATGTTTTTTTTTAGTTCAAGATTTTTCTTTTTGCTAGTTTTTAGTTTACCTGGCACATGTCCATGTCATATCTCTATCCAGTGTACTATTATTCGATCTTCTGCCCTCACCCTCCCCTTGGGTCATCAACATCACCTCGGCGGGGGTTGAGGTCACCACCCTCACCTCACCAGTGTTGGAGGTTGTCAGTCTCATGAGGCAGCCGCAGGGTTTAGTGAAGACAGGGAGAGGATCACCAGGGATATCATAATTACCCATTCCATCCTTAACAATTAATTCATTAATCTATGAATAAAACAAAACATTCGAATATATTGTCTATAGCCGTGCAAACGGCTGGACCGATTGGGCTGAATTTTTTTGTGGACTTTAATAATTTTTCAAAAATATTTTCACGGGCAACGCCGGGCCTTTCAGCAAGTATTAAATAAGCTAATTAATTGTAAATCAAGCCATTGTTATTAAATCGATTAGTTACTAATAAAATATTCAATTGTCATAAAATCAATCTTCAATCTAAAACTATTATTGAATCAATCTATTATTATCAAGTCAATTAATTATTATTAATTCAATCAATTATTATTAATTCAATCAAACATTATTAAATCAACCTTTCGTTATTGCATAAATATATAATTATTAAATCAATCACTTATTATCAAATCAATGAAGCAATTAATCAATGAATCTTTAAAAACTGAATCAAATAAACAAAAACGATTCAAATATGAGTTAGTTCTTTAAATGATAAAAATGTATTTTTTGACAGCTATGTACTTTTATTTTAAGCAATACTAAAATTCTACCTTTTGAGACTGGTGGCTAGACCCTAAAGCTTCCTTAATGTTTCTTGGTGTATCATAAAACTGCAGAGCATCCTGAAATATTAACAAAGGAATTGAGTTTTTGCCACAAACTTTGAGTTTCTAATTTCAAAATCGTTGCAACCCAATGTCGTAGACCTTTAATATTTCAAACTTTGAAAGATATTAGATCAAATAATGTAAGTTTGAAATATCAAAGGTTTACATCATAAGGCTGCGAAGAAATAGGTTTTACAAAAACTAAATTTGTGACAAAGACTCAATTCCTTTAACAAAATATTTTTTTTAAATCTCCCCTACAGCCAAGACACCCCCCGCCTCACCCCCCACCCCTCTTCTCTTCCGGATTGCAGAATGGGGTTTTCCCAGGTTCTGTATACAGACAATATATAAATATATTGCCTGTGAAAACAGTCTAGCATTGGATGTATAAAAGAACCAGTGCAGTGTTATGGTTGTATAAAAACTCCACATCTGCACTTTTCAGCAATTCATCTGCTTTATTTAGAACTATACAGACGGCCCTGAAGGGGGGGGGGGTTCTTTGTGTGTGTATAGAGGGGGGACCAATAGGATATGGCTATCTTCAGTCTCTTCAGTGGCTTGTTATTCTTTCTTTTTACGATTCTCCTTAAGCACCGTGGGGGGGGGGGTCTTTGTGTGAGAGACGGTGGGACCTTTTGGGATTTTTTTAGAGTTCACATGTGAAGGGGTTTTGTTGTTTTTAGAAGCTCTGTTATTCTTTCACATGTGGGTTAAAACATTAAATAGACAGAAGTAAAGAAGGTAGGTAAAGTATTGAAAAATGTCGGAGTATAAACTTTAAAGGGACTGTCTTTGAAATTTGAATTATCCTGTCATTTAATAAAAAGGGCATGTCTGATTCATAACCGTACCATTTACATCATTATCTGATCAATAATGAAGAGAAAGTTGTTGTTTTTTATCTAGAAAAGTGATTAGTTCCTTTATTGTTTCTGCAGTATAAATGCACATGGATATTCTTGATTAGACAAACCTTTCAAGGGAGATTGACTTGAAATTAAGTCTCTCAAGTTTTCCACAATTCAAAACTAATTAAAATATATTTCTTGATACTTTGAAGAAATGAAATTTATATTAATATATATTGTGAAACTCCTAGTTTTTAAAAGGGTTTAAATACAAACTAAAAAGGAAAGAAAGTCAAGCATGAAAGTAAGATAAACATGGCAGAGCTCAATAAATATAAAGAATAGATAAGCGTTGACAGACAAATATACAAATATAAAAACATACATAGATAAATAGATAAACAGACAACGGACACGAAAATAGTTTCAAGATAACAAGGGTTCAACGCCCATCAAGGAACAATCGCAAAACTTTCAATTTTGAGCTCATATGGGACGACCACAAAAATGTTTTTTTATGCCAATTTCCAAACTGGTTTTGGGTTAAAACTGTTGCTAAATTTCATATTTATAATCTGGATCACCCTGTGGAGTTGTAAAAACAATATTGTTAGCTTTTATTCGTGATTAACGAAATATTTGCGATTTAATGTTTTCATGCAACAAATTGGCAAGGTTTAATGAAGTGAAAATATGCGAATATTTATAGTAGGTCACGTTGCAATACGGTTCTAAACTGGTTAAACTGGGATTATTTCAGATAATTAAAATAAAACCTGACTTTTATTAAAGATGTAATAGAAGTATTCTCGAAGAATATATGAGGGATATGATAAGCAATATATAAATACTCTTATTTCCAACCGGTGTTTCTGTAAAGAAAATTTAAACTGGTTTTTTGAATTATTTTTTGTTCAGGACGGTTTAAATCCCCCCCCCCCTTCCCCTCATATAGACCTCAACTTACCAGCTTCATTCTTGAATTACTAAATGTTGAAAGAAAGGTATTTAAATCGGTTCTACAGATTAGATTCAAGAATTTAATTCTATTCCACTCCTTTCAACTTTTTCCTGTCTTTTTGCTGAAACATCATTATTTACGAAACCCCGTTAATCTCTTGTAAAATGTTTGAAAATTGGAGGAAAAATTCACAAAAACTTGCACTAAGCCTATTATAGCAGCTTTGTAGCATAGCCGTAACTTAAGGTTTTGCAGGGAGTAAAAACTAAAATGAAAAGTTAAGAATTTTGTTGAGAATATGAATAGTTTAAAGGGACGATTATAAATGGACTTCTTAGTTTAAAGGGACGAATACAAATAGACTTCTTAGTTTAAAGGGACGAACATAAATGGATTTCTTAGTTTAAAGGGACGAATATAAATGGACAGGTAGCTAAGATCCAGCCCCCTCTGGCATACATAAATGAGATATCCATGTAAATTAATTATTTAATGAGAGAGGGAAAACAATTAGTTCCAACCTGATTTCCTAAATTCCTTGGAACATCATAGTTTTCAAATCCAGGAACCTCCCGAGGTGCGGCGGATCCACAGCTGCACGGCGCGGCGGCAATTTGACGGCGGAGATGATCTCCTTCTCCTCCTTGCTGCTGGAGTACCCGCCTCAAGGACTTAGGTGTGAGGGGCGGTGAGAGGGAGGAGGCGGAGGACATGGAGGGGGAGAGAGGTCGAATAAATCCTCTACTGCTCGGTAATCGTTTTAATACTTGTGGGGAGGTCGTCACCTGAAATTATTATTTTATTATTGTTATTATTATTATTATTATTATTATTATTATTGTTATTATTATTATTATTATTATTATTATTATTATTATTATTATTATTGTTATTATTATTATTATCATTATTATTATTATTATTATCATCATCATTATTATCAATATTATTCTAATCGATGAGTCCTGGTTCTTATACCTTTAGAACTGTTTTAGGTTGATCATAGTTAGATCCACTTGACTGGGACTCTCCTGAGCTCATCGACATCCGGTCTAATGTCCCGTTCCAGTTCCGGCCATTCCAGGTCCCATTTCCGGTTCCAGGGTTCCAAATTCCACTTCCTGTTCCTGCTCCATTATACTGGGAACCTGAGGAACCAGACCATGGAACGGAACCTAAGTTTTTAAATCTAAGAATTAGATTATTCAAATCAATAAAGAATGAACCACAAAATGACAAAGGAATTTAGTTTTTGCCACAAACTCTAATTTTTAATACCCATATCTTGGCAACCCAATTTTGTAGACCTTCGATATTTTAAATTATGAAATGTGTTCAAATAGTTAAAAAAAAAGTATGAAAACATAGGATGGTGTAGACAAAAATATTGTTTGAAAAATTAAAAACTGAAATGATGAACAGATAAAGTTAATAAATGGTGAAAGGAAAGGATGAGGGGATGAAAGGAAGAATGAATAATGAAAGAATGAAGAAATGAAAGTAAGAATAAATAATGAAAGGATGAGGGGATGAAAGGATGAATAAATAATGAAAGGATGAGGGGATGAAAGGAATAATGCATAATGAAAGGATGAGGGGATTAAAGGAAGAATGAATAATGAAAGGATGAAGGGATGAAAGGAAGAATTAATAATGAAAGAATGAAGAAATGAAAGGAAGAATGAATAATGAAAGGATGAAGGGATGAAAGGAAGAATGAATAATGAAAGAATGAAGAAATGAAAGTAAGAATGAATAATGAAAGGATGAGGGGATGAAAGGAATAATACATAATGAAAGAATGAAGAAATGAAAGTAAGAATGAATAATGAAAGGATGAAGGAATGAAAGTAAGAATGAATAATGAAAGGAAGAATGAATAATGAAAGGATGAAAGGAAGAATGAATAAATGAAAACCTTGTCTTCTAGGTTGTCCTCTTTCGACACTCCAGTTCAGATAAAAGTCGGATTCACTTCCACATGATCTATTGGTAAATCAAATAATAAAGCAATAAATAAGTTAATAAATTGATTAATAAACCATCAAAAAATCAAAAAATAAAAATGAATTTAGAAAATAAAATAAAAATTAGACATTGTAAATAATTTTTTATTTGAATTAAATTTTAGTTTGAGTTTATAAAAGACTCTAAATTCCCAAACTGTCCCAACATTTGAGCCATATTTACGAAAATGAATGTTAACTTTCTTCAAGTTAAAATAAAACGAGAAATATTTACAGTTTTTACTTTCTTTGCTTCATGTTTTGTTTCTCAAAAATCCTAATTTTCCTAAAAGGTTTTTAGTCCAAACCCCAGCAGACAATATGGGGTCAGGGGGGATGAGGGGGGAAGGGGAAGGGGGGTGTGAGGGTCATGAATGCTTTTAGGTGTCTAGGGAAGGTTTCTAGGGG